AACAGATCTGCTTTCCAAGAGCTCCAGGTCTTTAGTAGAGAGGAAAATCCCACACCCACATAAAGAGACCAAGCAACATTGTGACTGCAAGCTCCCTACCTAATACAACAAATGCTTATCTCAAATTTGTTTYCAACCCACTCTGGGCAGATCTATTTTTATCTCAACCCTTTGAGCCTCACCTTRGGTGCCACATAAGACTGTTGTGGTTTAGGAGTGGTGTTCTCATATTTAGTGCTCTGCTGGCACTCTCTAAACCAGTTGCTCCTTCCCTGCTCACTCTCCTTCTCCCCCTCCYWCCTGTGGMTGGAGAGAAYTGGAGGCACAAAAGGTAAAGATCACAAGATGAGAGAAGAACAATTGATTGCAAACAGCAATTAGGTAAGAAAACAAACAGAAATAGTAACAACATTAATAACAAAACTTTACAAGAGAGAAAGGGTTATTCACATGCAAAATGCTCACCAACCCAACCCAACTGCAGCCACACCASCGTGACTGCTCCCTCSRGCTCAGRACTGGCATTACAGGATTTCTCCCCCTCAGCCACGTTTTGTCAGCTGGAAGAAACCCCTTATCTCCAGAAGAGACTGCCTTCRCCCTGTCCCCAGCAATGATATGAGGAGGTACAGAATAACCTSTGGGTCCTGGCAGTGCCCCTTCTGACTACTGCAAAAATTAACCCTGTCCTGGCCAGAACCAGGATGTCAGCAGGCCTGAGGCAGCTTTGCAGCGTGCTCTCACACATTTCTAGGAGGGCCCAGGGCTATCAGACCCACATTGTGACGCAGCTTTTGTGTTTTTAACATAGGGATTTGCATGCTTTTATCATACACTTTTTTTTTTCTTATTCCTATAATCAGCATGAACGATTTACAGGTGGAAACAAAATTATCAGTATTTGTTTTCCACTACAATGCTAAGAAATGAAGCTGGAGAAGAAAGTGTGACATACACCAGATTACCATTCATACCAAATCCCAAACCAAATATGAATTTGCAAGGCYATGTCTGCCTAACTGGAACCATGCTGATTAGCCCAAACAATGCTGTAGGAGATAGCTTTCGTGAGTGTTCACAGCAACATTTTATCTTGGATTGAAGATACAAGTGGTTGTTCTTAGAATGTTTGTTTTTCTAAGCTACTGACAAACAGTATGTGTATTGATGCCACTTGGCCTGTCATACTGTATTCATTCATTTCTATAACAGAAGGAACAAAAATATTTCCTCTTCAAATTAGCTTAGTATATTCAGGCTCTTGTGGGATGTGTAGCTGTATGCTGCTGTGTTTTTCCAAACTGTAGCATTGGACCGCACCTAAGATTAATAGAAGAAAATAGTTCCTGAGCTGTGGCCCCAACCTGAATCCACCACCTCCCAAATACCTACTAGAAAAAAGGAAAATGCACTGGAGTTTGCAGCAGGCAAGCACATCACTTGTTATCACCCATAAACCATCTTTGCATGAGCACCACAGAGCTCTGTGTCCCTGRTAGCTCAGGGGAGTCCCTAGAGGAGATAAAATGGAGCTGGGTGGGGGCACACAGTGTGTCCTTGGCAGAAAGGACTCTCCAGGTCTCTGTGTGCAGTATTCCTCAGTACAGGAGCAGGYTGGTCTCTTCCACACTGAGGAGTTCCCAGCACCAGTTACCAGTTCTCTGCTGAGAGAAGCAGTTCTTCATTCCCACATCACTCATAGAATCACAGAGCAGTTTGGGGTTGGCAGTAACCTTAAAGCCCATCTCATTCCACCCCCTGCCTTTAGTGCTGTGTCCAGTTCTGGGCCCTTCCGTTTAGGAAGAATGTCGAGATGCTGGAGCGTGTCCAGAGAAGGGCAACAAGGCTGGTGAGGGGTCTGGAACACAAATGCTGTGAGAAGCAGCTGAGGGAGCTGGTGTTGTTTATCCTGGAGAAGAGGAGGMTCAGGGGTGACCTGACTAYTCTCTACAACTCTCTGACAGGAGGGTGCAGCCAGGTTGGGGTCGATCTCTTCTCCCAGGCAACTAACAWGAGGATGAGAGCACCATCTTATGCTGCACCAGGGGAAGTTTAGGCTGAACATTAGGAAAAAACTCTTCATAGAAAGAGTGATTGGGCATTGGAATGGGCTGCCCAGGGATATGGTAGAGTCACCATCCCTGGAGGTGTTTAAGATGGATGTGGCACTCAGTGCCATGGTCTAGTTGACAAGGTAGTGCTAGGTCATAGGTTGGACTCAGAGATCTCAAAAGTCTTTTCCAACCTAGCTAATTCTGCGATTCTGTGGGTAGAACCTATAGCTGGGAGAGGAGGAAGAGGAAAAGCCAGGGCCCAGGGTGAAGCCACCTCCCTGGGGCAGCAGCACATCATTGATCCAGCAACCTGGAGGATGGGAACGGCTCTGACAACCCACCAGATCATTTAATATAACTTCTAAGGCTCACATTTTTCTTTCAGGAATCTAATTGTTGAGCTTTTAGCTATCACACCTATGCATGTGTGATCTGATTAAACAGAAACTGAGGCTGAGAGCTACTATTCTCCTTTTCAAGTGTTACAGAACAAGCAACAGGGTCTGCCTGAGGCTCTGAGTAGTGTAAGCAAAACCAAGAGTCACTGTCTGGGGCTGAGAAGCTGATGCTCAGCTGAGCCAGGCTCAGCTCCTGAGGCTCAGGGAAGAAGGGAATGGCAGCAGGGCCAGCCAGGAGAGGAGAAAGGGAAGCAGCTTGCTGCTTCTGGAGGGCTGGAAAGCTGCCATCGCTGGGCTTGCACTTGGGAATTTGTCCCTGCCTATGGCCAGGCAAGCCCTGAAGCTGCCCAGGCAGCTTTGCTGGCGACTGTCATTTCAGCACTCTTGTGCCCTTGGCATGCCTGGAGCCAGCAATAATAACTAGGATTAAAAGAAAGGCAGTGCCCTAGGGCAGCTTAGTGAAATCCAACAGTTAAACAATCCCTAAGCAAAAGCAGCAATGGGGCTGCATGGCTTCCCCTGATGCTGAAGGTGAAACTAGTGGCCTTAAAAATGAGGAGCATCTCCATGCTGCAGCCCAGCAAAATGTTTCTAAGATGCTCTCCCCATTCTCTTCCTTTCCCTATCACCTTTTWTCCTTGTGTTTGGTTCCATTATACCAATGAGATATTTTTTATTAAATTCAAAGCATATTTGCATGGGATGGGTGGTTTTAAAAGCAAAATCATGTCACTGCTATGGATGATGGCAGATGACTGCACCTTACTTGGACAAAATCCCATTTTACAACAGCTGGATTTTAAGGGTTATAGACTTTGTCTTAAGTAAGGGTTATAGACAATGGAATTGGCCGCTTTCTCCATTAAAATCATCAGCAATACTTCCACTGATAGAAGTACTGAATCCCCACAGCTTCTCCATGAAAGCACTCACTTGCAGCCAGGGAGGTAAGTGACTTTCTGGGGAGTCACAGTCAGAACCAGGGCTGCCTGTGGTGCTCCAGGACACATGGAGCCAAGACTACTCCTGTTGGGTTATACATATCCTTACAAAGCAAAYCTGAATGCTGCCATGGAGTGGGTGAAATTCAGGTGCTGCTGCTTAACTGCTTCTGTGAGTGTCCATAAGGAAAGAGTTGACTTGCAACACACGTATATTCAACTTGAATTGTATAATAGCAGCTGCAGGGGTAGTGGCTTACAGAAAAAAAACTACTTCTCTGTCTTTGGTATTCCTCTGGCTTCACAAACATGAAGGACTTGACTGTAGGAGCTATAGTTCCTTGCTGACTTTAATTAGGTTGATGAATATTTGGCACTACCAGAAATACAAACCTAATAATTAAGCTGAATAATTTTAAAAAATGCTGGAGTTTTGCTGTCACGTGACCAAGCATTGCTTTTAGAATGTGATTTAGCTGTAGAGATGGAAATAGTAACCCTTTATATCTAAAATATTCCTGAGTCCTCCCTGCCAGATAAGCTCACCAGAAAGAGTGCTATGGCCAGCAGCACAGTGAGCTGTGTCTGTATTACAGGTGGGCATAATCCTGCTCCATTTGATGTTTACAGAASAGTCTTAAGGGATTTTTCAGTCTGTTTGGGTTTGGTGCATCCTGGAATTTCATCTCTCTAATCTGCTCYTGCAGACTATTTTTTCCTTCTAATTCCATGTGAAAAAAAAAAAAAAATAATGAGAGGTAAAACAAAGGGAGAGAGTGTTAATTGCTGTGCTTGGTGTGGGCCCCAGACCATATGCTCAATACCAACACACAGAGCTTCTTCAGCAGAGCCAGTTGTTCCTCCTTTTGCTTTCTGTGGACACATGATGCAGATCATCAAAGGTCTTTCTTGCATCCACTGCCAGTATCAGCAAATCAAGGATCTCAATAAACACTGCTGACACCCACATTCACTGTGMTAATGCTGCCAGGGCAGTTAAGAGGCAGGGGTTGACATGGCCAGGATGTGAYAAGCACAAAATGACAAACGCAGCGTGTGCAAGGCACTTGGGTTTCACTGAGTAGCCTGTGCCTGTTGGTGTGTGCCATCCAGCTCTGGGTAGGATGGATCTGGAACTATCTAGTGGGTTTAGCTTCAGATCCCAGTGAAAACTAACRCAACTTTGTAGACCATAAACTATATATTGAGCTCCTGGAATATAACTGCATAAAGAGCAGTAAACACTGTTTGCAAGACCAGACCCATGAGAACAAGACAGGGGTACCTGAGGCTCTGCAGGCTGTGCGTACCAGCCTGGCGGCATCAGGGATTGACAGCAGGCAGTAGACGAGGACAGGCAGGGCAGGCGGCAGGCAGGGGGCAGCGGGCACGGCAGGCAGGGGGCAGCGGGCACGGCAGGCAGGGCGGGTAGCAGGGCACAGGCAACCGCCGCCTGGCCACTGGGGCCCAGCGATACCCGGTGCCCCGAGGCTCCGGCGGCGGCCCGACTGCGCCAGCCCCGAATGGCCCCTCCTCTCCCTCCGCTGCCCCTCCTCCCTCGCCCCGCGGGTGTCGCGGAGGGGCAGCGGGGCGGGCCCGGTGGGGGCGGATGGGGTCACGGCGGCGCTCCCGCGGSACGGTCCGTGTTTCTCCCCGCGGTCCGGCCCCGGAGGGCGGAGGCGGGTGCGGTGTGGGTGCGGGTGCACCTGCCGGGCGGCTCGGCGGAGCCATGCCGGCAGCCACGGCGTCCGGGCTGGACGCGCCGCGCACCCCCGCGCTCGGGCGGGACGGCGGCGGCCCCCGCGGATACACAGGTACGTGGTCCTGCGTGGTCCCGCATCGTTCGTCGCAAAATTCCCTCCTGCGTCGCACCGGAGGGGAGGAAGGATGCCGGACTCCGGTTAAAGTACAGGATCCCTCCCGCGTAGGGTTGCGGGGTGACCGGAGCAGGCTGCGGTASCCCCGGACAGAGGTGTTATATGTCCGCCGGGAAGGGACGCGTGAGATCTCAGCCGGGGCTGCGTTACCCTCCCACTCAGCTCCGGATCCTCCGCCGGGAAGGGGCCTCTCCGTCCCACTCGGTGCCGCCTCTGCCCGGTCCCTGCAGTCGCGGAGCGCGGAGGGGACAGTGATCCGCACCCTGAAGTTCTCGGGCTCGAGGCGGTGTCCCGGAGCCGCCCTGGGCACGGGGTGGTCCCGGCGATCCTGGGACAACTCTGCCGGGGCCGCACTCGGGCTGGCGAGCGGGGCCGGTCCTGGGCTGCGGGCAGGCGGAGGGGTCGAGCATTCCCAGGGCTGCACAGAGCAGCCCCTCTCCGAAGCCGTCCTACTGGTTCACCCAGGGGGCTGCTGGAGCCCRGGGCTGGGATAATTGCTCCCAGAGAGGAGGCGTTGCGGTTTAGTGACGGGAGTTGGGAGTTCACTCGCTGGGGTGGCCATGGGCCCTGGGGACGAGTGCATGGGTGCAGAGGGAAGTGTCTGGCAAGGACGGAAGATGCTGGTTCTCAGGGACATCATCCCTGGGCTCATGTCACGGGGCTGGGAAGGAAATGAAGATATCAGTGTTTTAATGGAATATGGTAGTATGTTGAGGGGTGGAATGAGAAACTGATCAAAGCTTTTTGCTTCTTTATCTTTCTCTTCCCTTGTGTTTTGTTACTCAATTTGATTGCATCGACCAGTTGCATCCCTTGAAGACCTCTTTGACTTAACCGGGTCCAATAATTTGGGGATAATGCGAGGTGACAGAATGTCTGGCCCAGAATTGGTGGAACATGTCCACTGCACAGGGCTGTGGTGTTGGTGGGTGTCTGGGCCTGGAGGGAGCAGAGCCATGGTCTGGACCTGCTGGCCTGGCAGCAGGAGATGCTTGTTCCCAGCCAGAGCCACCTCTCGAGTAGAGAAGTGAGGTGAGATGCAGGGATGCTGGAGCTTGGTGCAGCTGCAGAGACCAGCAGCTTGCTGGGGTTTCTTCCTTTGTGCTGGAGATCACAGGGYAGATGGGCTTTTCCCTGGCTTCAGTGCACTGTAGTGCTCTTGAAATCCAGGGACCTTCATCTCGTGTGCAGCTGTCTTCTCATATCCTTGAGATTTAATCAGCTTGTGAAGTTCTAAGAGACTTTATTAATGACCTGATTTTGTTGTGCCTATAGGAATTGGCAGATGTATTTGGGCTTCTAGTGTAGCAGTGCTTTAAATTGTATCCTCTGAATGTGCTTAACTGTTTAATTTGAATTTAATAGAGCTGTTAATTTTTGAAAATGCAAAACAAGGTCTGGAAAACCAGTTCAGAGAATTAAYTCGAATCCAGGTGTAGACCCTGTTCTTTAGCCTGATAGTGTTGCTAATAATTGACTTCTCCAAGTCACAGCCCCATCACAGCATCATTGCCACGCTACAGCAGTGTGCTAGGAACACTCATCGGCCAGCGCCTGCCAGGCTTGGGAAGTTCTCTGGAAAAGCTTCTGAGATTCTGACAGGCTTGTGTCAGTGGTGACCCAAGCACTCACCTGTCTTGTAGGAATCGCCGTGGAGCAGGGTGCTGTCATCAGCCCGTGCCCCTGAGGTACTGATGCCTCTGAAGCTGCTCAGAGTATGCTGGGGGCTTTTGTGTGAAAKAGGAAGAAGAGGAAGGAGCAACAAAGGCGTATCATTATTTTTAGTCTTTATGTTGTTGAAGTGGGAGGCTCTGGCCCTCTGGATATCCACGGTGGTGTCTTGTCTTTGCTGTGATTCCTTCTCTCATTCCTCAATACCCTCCTATAGCTCTTTCAGATCAGGCAGCACACACTTCTGTAAACACGGAGATGCATCTACGAACATATTAGTCCAACCACAGACAAAGGGAAAATAAATGCAGGACRTGGCAGAAACACTCATTATGACAGGTTATAAATAAGGTCTCACTGCTGGGCYGTTGTTTGTAGTTGTGATTCTGCCTCATTGCTCCACTTTCCAGACCGGGAAAGAGAGAGTTTTTACGAGGTGGGAAGTGTGGCAGGCTGCTCTAAATGTCCTGTTCTGACCTGGTTGTGGAAGGAATTATCTAGCAGACGGAAGGAAAGGGACAGGGTCTTTGGCTTAGGACAGACAAAGTTGCAGTTTGCTGGAGGTTAGAAGAGGAGAGCCGCCACATGTAGGCTCAGTTGTATCCTGGATGTTGGTGGCCATGGTGGGTTGCAGGTACCAAGATGGATGTATCTTTGGTGTGATTTGAACTGTCTGTTMTTTTGTTGTGAGAAACTTTATTTTTCCGAAGTCAGTTTCCTTGGCAGTGCAGAAACTGGACTAATGTTACTAAGAACTAACAGTTGCTCTTCCAGGGCAGCAAAAGCAAAGTTGTTCTTCAAAGCCAGGAGCACTGCTGCTCTGCAGAAATGGAGCATGGAATTTTATCACCKTGTCCCTGCAATGCTGAGATGCAGTTCAGTTTTTAGGCTGCAGAAGAAAACACGGATTCTAAATTTCCATTTCCATGGGGCAGAAGGTGATACAACTTGGCATATATGGGCTTGTAATTTCTTCAGGGTTATTTATCCTTTCTYTTTCTCCCATGAGCTCTAAGTCAAACCTTGTATTAAGTAATGCAAAAGAAGTGACAGTTGCAYGATGTCAGCTAATTGGCTTTATCTCCTGTACTGCAAGGTGTTAATCTGGGTGGCGTTTGCAGCAGGCATTGATACTGCTTCAAGGGAAAGATTTTTGTGCTTGTCATGAAAACTCTAGAACAGTACAAAGTAGAGAAGGGAAAGAGTTACTGGGTTTTCTGTGTCCCCCAGAATGCAAGATTGTTCCCTGTGGTATTCTCCAATACTTCATCCCTGTTACTCTGAAATTACCTAAATTAGAGAGACAGATTATGAGCTGACTTCTGAATTTCAGCTAATGAATGAGGTGAGCTGAACATTTTGAACTCCAAACTTTGATATTTAAAAAATCACAAGTCAGTCTTAAAACATAGAAGCACCCYAGTGACAGTGGTTCACCCAGCCTTTTCTGGGTGGTGTGCCATGGTCCATTTTCAAAGGGTCAAACCCTTGCCAGTTTGGCTGTTCCCACTGTGGCAAAACCAGGAGCAGCTCTTTTTCCCCTGAGCAGTGGATCATCCCCAAACATCTCTTCAACTCTACAGCAAAGAGATTTTTAACTATGCTGGAATTGGCATGATTTTGCTTATTAATCATGATTGCCACTGACTTTYTATGTGCACTGTAGAGTCTTGCCTTCAATATCATGATGGGGACAAGCTAACAATTGTTAGTTTTCATTTAGGCATTTTATTGACATGCTGTCTTTGAAATGCAGCCGCAGATGAGGAAGCATGTTATTCTAAAAAACAATTTTGACTAGCTCCGTGGATCAGGATTGGCAGAGGTGATTTTGCAGTCTGCATGGATGTCTGTCTCTCATTTGGTTGTCAGATGACAGAGAGAAAGCAGAAGTTGCAGAATGAGCAATTGCTCCCCAAAATAAATTAATTCCTGTGTCTGCTGAGGTCTCGGGGATGGRGTTGAGCTGGTGCCTGGGTTACAAACGAGCCTTGGCAGCAGAGCAGAGCCCCTGTGGCCCAGCAGCATCTTTAGTGGGGTCTGTAGCTGCTTGGGGAGGGAGGCAGTGCTCACATCTMCCTCATCCCAAATTGGAGTGGTCATGGCTGGTAGAAGCACTGTCGGGCAAGGGAGGAGTTAACTGCTTGCCTTTCCTCCAACAGACCAGGGAGAGAGGATTCTGTTATTGTTTCTGGGATGAAATAAAGCCAGACACAATGCTGCTCATGTATTCCATACTCTTAAGCAGAGGAACTTTGATTTGGAATGGATTTGAGGACAGGTGAAAATGGGGACAGAAGTCAAGTAGGGTGAAGACATGGTGTACAAAATTCCCTGAGTGCATGTGTGAGCTGGGTATAGTGTGTGGGAGGATGAATTGGAGGCRCAGAGGCACAGAGAGGTGCAAAGGGCAAGTTTTGGGTTTTGATTTTTCCTATTCAGAAAAGCAGAAATTTGTGCCTTCATGTAAAAGCAAAATTACACGCAGGAAGGTTTCTGCTTACAGCCACAGTTATTTCCAAGATCTTTGCTAGYTGATTGGGTCAAAAGAGGCTTCTGGACTGGACACAGGGCTTCTTCTGTGCTCTAAAAAGTGGTGCTCTGCGAAGCCAGGGACAGTTTTGCTCAGGCAGGAGAGCTCCAGTGTTTGGCCCATTATTGTGAATAGCTGTAGAAATTTAGATTAGGACTAAGGTTTTCATTCATTTTAGTCTGTTTGCCCAGAAGCTGAATTCTCAGGAGTAGCTCTGAGTTTCAAAGGAAGGGGAGGGCATGGGGCTGCTGTGCTCTGCTCTGCTCTCCGAACTACTTGTGCGTAACTCATTCTGTGCATAACTCAGCTGCAATCATTGACTTTTTTAATGGGAAAAAGTAAACACAGTGCACTGGTTCCCTGTCCTTAAACTGGCATTCCCGTCAATCTTGATGCCACTTTGCACCAGTTCCTGTGTGCAGGGAGGCCAAAAGCAGATGTGCCTATTGACTTGTGCTGCTAATCATTGCTGTGCTCAAGTGGCTCCTGGCAGGATGCATGTTTTTGTGCTCACACCATGCAGGTTGCAGGTTGCCCTGGTGTCCATGGCCAGGCTCTGGCTGCATATGCCTCAGGGTGAAGCCCAGGAACAGGAAAGCCAAACCCTGTCASGAAAAGAACCAACCAGGAAAGAAGAAAAATAGAAAGTGATAAAACCACAGAGAAGGATTTAAAATATGGCTGGTTTCTCAGCCCCATGCATGACTTCTGTCACCATTATAAAAGGCATGCT